CATATAATCCTATCTATTGTGCAAACGTTAAATATATAAACTTTTTGTCATGAACACGTGAACACTCTATTTACAGTTCATATGCATTGAAGGTATTGCCGATGGCTCTACGCCAACTGATCGATTATTGTGCGAACATTTGTCGACAGTTAACGATGAGATAGCATCTGTCAAATTCGACGAACCGATCATTTGCCGAAAAACGCATGACTGTCGGATAGTTCCACAACATTCAGGTACACGATCACTCACCGACAACTTGCCGACAAWTGTTCGATTAGAGTTCCGAACAATCAACAACAAAGCGCTTATAATTAATTTACTTATATAAAATCTTTCATTTTGTCCTAATCTAAATAAGATAAATATTTCTATTTTATTTGATATCACACAGCAATGCTACACCACGTAATATCCAGTGATCTGGGTTCTGATTGGTCTTCAGATCCACACAAGCGATGTATGTAAGGTCAGTACGCTGTGGCTTCTTGTAAATGGGGCACTGATACAATCTATTATCCCGTCCTCCAGTAGAATTGATAGCATAGATATGGACGACGGGGATTGGAGTGAAGAGGACCTTAGGGGCAGGCTCTACCAGCTTGCACCCTCTGCGATCCCATCCTGCGCCGTCAAGGAATAGTCCGTGSACATAGACACCYTCRGTAGGAGGGGTGGTGATGTCATCTTTGAAGAAACGCGTGACGTCATTRTGAAGGACGACGCAGTCCARMGCCCAACCTTTGTGAGCACGTGTTACTTCCTGTAGGGAGGTGATAACAAATAGTGTGTTAGAAATGGAATTGAAGATTGTATTTTTAGCRACACTTAATTAAACAGTAGTCTCTTCATAATCATCCACTCTTCCAATGATCTAATCATCAACTAAATTATTGAATCGATCACTCATAAATGTTTTTTTTCTGAATTAATCCATCAATCTATTAACTTACATTCAATAACTCATCCTTCACTCTGTTTTCATCTATTTATCCAATTCCATTCATCCACTCATCTTCCAACMYYTYCMWTMMWTTTTTCAATTCGTTCACAAATAAAYCTATCAATATACKTATTTATTCATTCATTTTCCCATTTCTTCGTTCAATTATCTATCGTCGCATAAATCCATTCGACCATATATCCAATTGATCTATTCATTCATTTTCCCATTCGTTCGCTCATTCATTTATCTATCCTTGCATAAATCCATTTGACTATATTGCCATCCATCCATAATTACCTGTCTCATTGCCGTCAAGAAACCTTGTGGATTGAAGAAMCCYGTCATCCAGAATACATTAGGTCGACCATCGAAACACCASGTACGGAACTGAGCATTACGCTCTATTAACTCCGTGAACCAGAACCCAAGGGTCGACGACTCCCAAGATATCTACAACAATACGTAATAACGATAAGAAAACCAACAACCAAGACTTCAAGTTAACAAATAACTGACTAAAGATCTTGTTGTATGTTTAGTATTGAATAATACAATTTTATTCAGTGAGGTGTGAAGGTCACTCGAGAACGGAGCGCATACCATCTGGATTCAAGACTAGAAGGTCTTGAGAGGCGGTGCGTTGCACCTAAATCACTAGCCTGATACATGAGGGATAGCGTAATGAGGACAAATAGAACAAAAAAAAGTTGTAGTCGTTCCCAAATTTTAATGCACTGATTCATTAAATCTTTATTGAAACATAAAGTTTGCATTAATGTAACGTCATAGATCATTTACGAACCTTTTTCCAGTGCTTGGGAATTCTTGCATCGTACATACAGTCGAGAGAATCTCGTAGAGTCTGCATTTGGAAATGAACAATCGTTTGTTAATTAATCATTAAACAACGCGATCTGTGTCATTGCCCAGACAATAGTCACCAACGTCATCTTTCACTCATCGTCATTACTATCATCATCATCATCATCAACATAACCATCATCATCTTCATCAAAATCATCATCATCACCATCATCATCATCATCACCATCATCATCATCATCACCATCATCATCATCATCATCATCATCATCATCACTATTGTATTCTTTATAACCAAGGAACAGCCATGTGAAGTAAAGATGTGAAGTAAGCGGAAACGGAGACGGAAGCGGTGACGGAATCAGAACGCAAGATTTTCATTTGTTATTCTACTTCCTTCACACATCCTTTCACCGCAACATCCTCTGTTCGCTGTCTTTCATACTTAGGTAAACGCCTTCCTTCTACTTTCCCTACTTTACTAGGCTCAACGGAAACAACAAAAACTCAACGTACCTCACTCATGATGATGCTGCCATCGATTGCAAGCTTTAGATCAGTCAGGGTCTGACGGACTGCCGAGATAACTCGCTGCATACGGTCGATTTCTTGGCGTAAGAATATATTCATGGNATTATGTTACTTTCATGCCATTGTGATGAAAGGTTTTGGAAAAACGTATCCTTCTTTAGAAGGAAAACTCTCAGAACCATCATTATTGTACCTGAAAAATGTACAAAAACCTGTTGTAACTGTGTTGGTATTTTATGACGTGTACACCTACAAGCACTCTTACTTGGATACAACAAAAATGTGAATGTGAAAAGCCACATGAAACCTTATGGTTGGTGGAACCTGAAAATTCTGGTGATGTTCTCGTACTCTAAAAAACCCTCACGGATGTGCTTCAAAATATGCAAAAGTATGTGGACGATTATGGAGTATCTTCCATGCAAGTGCATGAAGACAAAGTATTTTCTTGCAAACATAAAGTGGGCTTAGCAATAGTCTCCTTCACGGTTCCATGTACAATCTTGAAAGGTAGCCATGCCTTTCCATCAAAACAAGAGTGTTGAGGATGCAATGATAGAAACCTTTCTATTGACAATAATTCACAGGCGTCTATCATKGCAAATTCAATGTCAGTCTCGTTTTGATTCAAAGGCATGTCCATCCACCTTTCAAGATGTCGCAGGGAACCATAAAGTGCACTGTCATGCATGTGAAAATGCGTGCAGAACACGGATATGACTGAAGGGTAAAAAAATTGTTGGCATGTTAGCTAGCTTATGATCTGGAAAGAAAAAAATGACAGAAAGAAAAAAAATACACTATGCTCCCTGTTCTATCAAAGAGCATTCCAAACATTCAAGTTTATGTTAGATCCCTGTAATGTTCTTATTTTCTTGTTTAGTAAATGTCTGACTGTGAAGTTGTAATGGGAATTCTGACATGATGGGCATATTGACTTGCTTGTTCTCTGCAAAATCTAATTTTCAAATTTTTAAACTAGGATTTAGCATAAATTTCTTTGACTTTTTGTATTTTTTTTTTAATCTAGATTTTTTTTCTTTATTTCTATATCATATATATATGCATTTTAATTCATAGCTTATTATTATTATTATTAATATTATAGTCGAGGTCCTTTTTGAAAATCATTTTTAATGAAAAAGTATCCTCAATAAAGATTATTATTATTATTATTATTATTATTATTATTATTATTATTATTATTAAAGGTTTAGCAATTTTAAGGCTCTCAACAAAACAAACACAATTACTATCTTGTCTTATACTTTAAATCTCAGAATTATGCTAATTAACAAAAAAGGTTCCATCTAAAATGGCATAACTTTTGTAATAAACCTGCCCTCTCCAATTAAACTTGAAAAAACTACCACTATTCAGATGCATAAGGAGCTGTTAAGAAGAAACAAGAAATGCCATTAAAGCAATTTTAAAAGTTACCTTAGCATTGAGAAAATTGGTGTTTAAAGCAAGAAATGGAAAATGAAAATAAAAAGAAAAGCTAGAAGATATCAAAAGCCCAGGAACAGAAGATATCTTTCAAATTGACACCATGTTTAGCAGGATTCTGTGGTTGGAAAAGGTRTAATGCTTGACTATAAATTGACAGCCTAACACGCCATTTTGAGACTTTTAGTCATGCTTGCCCAGACCAATGATGAATCCAAATGCTTCTATGTCAAAATAGTCAAATAGAAGACAACTTGTCAATGACTAGAACCTTGACCCATGGATAAGCTGGACCAACAGTAAAAATGAAGAGAAATACTGTTAAGYTCACAAGATTATGTTTGAGTGGTAAGTGAGGTATGTGTTAAACGTTCAGTTTTATATGACAGGCGATCATTTACCACATGGTTATGATATTTTTTKGGGGGGAACAYACTTTTGCTTGCCCTACTAGCTTATCGAAATGGATACAGGAATGACGCATTCCTTGGTTTAATTTAGTAATAAGGTTTTTAAATTATTATCTCTTATTCATATCATCTCTTACATGGTTAAAAGGGTTGTTCCAGAGGAGAGGTTAGAGAACTTAATAGAGAAGAAACCAATATTCAATCTCTTGTATGATTGGTCCATTGGCTTTGTTACATGRGTGGGGTGGAAGAGATTTTGTTGCTATCTGTAATATCCCAAGGGGGATAGAGATAGTGTGACGTATGCAATCTTGCAAACATCAGAGCCCATTTTCRACGAGATTGCATCAATAGCTTTAGCACACAACAGAATGTGTAGTTATTATTGCAGGAGCAGAAAATAGCTTTGTTGAACTTGATCAACAGGAAAGATGTGTTCGCCATTTTGCCAACTGGGCATGGAAARTCCTTATATTTCAGCTTCTTACAGATCTTTGCAGGCAGTTGTCCATCCAAGGCTATGACTATCCAGATAATCCATTAATTATTGTTATTTGCTCTCTTAAATCATTGGTAGAATTGCCCATATGCGCAGACAAACATGGTATATCGGCTCAGGGCTCATAGCTCAAATGGCCGGGCTCAATTCTGAAATCTTGGTTGGGCTCTGGGCTCAAAGTGTTAGGCTCACGGCTCAAGAAAAAAAAA